CAACGTGGCGAGCCTTGCACGTGAGAGGCACAGTGGAGGTGGAGTTCAAAGAAGAATGAGAAATTTAATGGTTTCAATCTGCCCTTGTTTTTTCTTTTTGTTTTTGTTTTTGTTTTTCTTTTTATTTTTGCATGTTATCACTGTGCCCGTTTTTTGCTTTTATTCTTTGTTCCGCAAAGTGCGCTCTTTTAGTTTGTAGTGATGTGACAATATATATAGCCTCCTGATGAGTCGGTGAAACTCTGACGAAACAGTTTGTCACAGCCCCTCGGTTGTTGTCTTCTTCTCTCTCTCTGCCTACGGTTTACCGGGCAATTCTGTTTGTAACGATATATATATATATGTGACAATATATATATATATCTGTTTGTGACGATATATATATGAAACTCCGACGAAACAGTTTGTCACAGCCCCTCGTTTGTTGTCCTCTTCTCCCTCTCTGCCTACGGTTTACCGGGCAGTTCTATTTGACGATATATATAGACGATTTGTGACGATATATAGACGATATATATATGTATTTTTTTTTTTCACTTCAGGATTGTGTCACACGATGAGTTTCAACGGCTTTCTCATGGGCTTGTAATTCTGTGATTTCGTTCTGTTTTCTTGTCTGTCGTTCAGCTTCAGGGAAGCGGAAGAGGATTGCAGTATTACTCTGTCACTGGATAAAAAGGTACTTTGGTGCTGATTGGCCATTAGGCTCTTGATCTGCTGATAATTCTATCAGTCTTCCTTTATTCGCTTGCCGTCTTAAAATTCCTGCGGCTTCTTGTCTGTCATGAAAACATCCATCAAGTACTGCAGGCTTATAATTCAATAATTGTCATCGACTGCATGAACCCTTTGTGTTTGAGCGAGCGGATTGTCGTAGTCAGTACCAGCACATCCTGAAGCCGCTAATTGTATGGGTGTAATTGTCACCGTGGAGTAACGGATATATATCTTTTGGAATGCCATTTCTGCAGGGTTCCCTTTGATGTGTCCATCCTTTGTGCTCTAGAAACAGATCAATATTTTGACTTGGGCCTCTCGAGCAAGGCTCGTGTGTAGGAATGCAACTGTTACTTCCATGAGCGGAGGAAAGACTTCCTCCTCCTCCTCCTCCTCCTTGTTGTTGTTGTGGTTCTTCTTCAGCTTTTGCTTCTGCTTCTTCTGCTTCTCCCCCCCTCCTCCTCCTCCTCCTCCTCCCTCTCCTTCTCCTTCTTGTTCTCCTTCTTCTCCTTCTCCTTCTCTTTCGTTGTCTTCTCCTTCTTCCTCTCCTTCTCCTTCTCCTTCTCTCTCTCCTCCTCTCTCTCCTCCTCCTCCTCCTCCTCCTCCTCCTCCGTCCTCTCCCTCTCCTTCTCCTTCTCCTCCTCCTCCTCCGTCCTCTCCTTCTCCTTCTCCTTCTCCTTCTCCTTTTCCTCCTTATTCTCCTTCTCCTTCTTCTCCTCCTCCTCCTCCTCCTCCTCCTTCTCCTCCTCTCCCCTCCTTCTCGCTGTTGTTATTGGTGCTGATGATGAACCCTGCTGTTGTTATTGGTGCTGATGATGAACCCTGCTCTTGTTGATGATAAACCTGTGTGTGTATGGTTCTATCCTATGCTAGCCTGCACCGAAAGCCTGGAGGCTAAGACCTTTGCGTGTGTATAGGGAGCAGTCTATTCCGAAGCATTTAGTAGAGTAATATTAACTGCAAAGCAGATGTGTAACCTGTGTGCTGCAGCAGGAGTATATATGTGAAGAGGTAGAGTAGGGATTACTGTCGAAAGGTAGGTGGCACATTTGGACACCTTCTGATGAGGAGAAATCAGGCAGTCATATAGGCCCTGGTAATGGCTGCAAGCAACTGCCACACAAGTAAAAAAAAAAATTGCATGTGGAGCAAGTTTGCGTTTTTTCAACTTTTTTGTCACATCCTCACGGTTCTGGCCATTCTCTCTACGTTGTACGTGCGATTCTCTCGCTTTTGTTTCACATTTATCTGCAGCGTGCCGGCAATTGATTTTCATTATGCATGCGCTGAATAAACGTGCTGGGCAAGCCCTTGCTGGTGCGCTCGCTGGGTTCTTTTCCGTATTTTGTTCGTTTTCTTAATCTGCTTATTGCCAGAGGAGTCGTCGCTTTTCTACTAGGCGACGTGTTTGTGTCATGCCTCTCTTTTCAACCTGCTTATTCTTTTGGCCCTTCGTGGTGCGTGAATCGTCAACACTGAGATATAGTATGATATATGTTGTCGGCATAGTGCTGGGTTGTGTGTAATTTTGTATGGATGAAGAAAAGTGTTTCAATGTTTTCAATCATTGAGCGCCATGGCGACCGTTTTCCATTCCCTTATGCAGAATGTGAAGGCATGGCTCCGGCGGGGAACTGCGCGCGAATTTTTAGCTCATTACGCTGATGCCGTTCAGGGTGAGTTCCGTACTGCCCTGTAAAAGCAGAGTGGGAATCCGCCAAAGTCTTTTGTGATAAGCACTTTTTTTTTTTTTTTTTTGCAAGAGCATCATTCATTTCATTTCAAAATATCGAAGAGGCCGGGGACCTCATGATTCAACCCGGAGATACTGGGGCCAATACCTAGCATAGGCTCGTGCTGGAAAGCCGGTCCAGCGTCCATTCAACTATCCCTTCCACCGCGAGGTTCGCACAAAACCTACTTACGATCGTCTCATCAAGCACTAGGTCTGCTATTCTACTATACACTCCACACATTGTAAAGCATTTAAAACTAGCTATTCCGCAGGGTGGAGTCTATCCCACGCTGGTGAATGCCCAATCACTCCAGGCTAGTCATTAAGAAAACCTTGTTCTCCGCTGGAATGGGCTGAAAGCAGTCGGAATACTCGTCGAGCAGTTTCACAGTAGACGTACAAAATCAAGCAGCGTGCTGCTCCTATCCCGTGAGCAAAATACCAAGAGGCCTGTATCTGACAGGTTCGGAGGTCATTTGTTCTCCATTCAGCAACAGGGATCTCTCTCTCTCTCTCTCTCTCTCTCTCTCTCTCACACACACACACACACACACACACACACACACACACACACACACACACACACACACAC